CTCGATAGTTTTGGAATGTGAAATGTGACGTATTGAGCAGGTTAAAAAGCAGTCATGAAGGTGGTTATAAGAGGAGTTATGGGTTTTAGGCATAGTCAAACATGTCAAAAGACTGGTTCTTTATCTGAGAAGTTCAATAAGAGAACAGAATGTCGTACGATAAATAAAATTTTTCACCATTCGAGGTGATCTTACTCAAGATGACAAATAAAAATGCTTCATGAATCGTTGTGTGAACCGGTTACCAGAGAAGACGCTTTCGGTAGGCTTAGTTTACCCCTACCTACTCGATTTCAACTGAATACTACTGCAGTTCAATGAATTTCGTCTAGTCACTACCAGCCAAGAAAATGGTCTCTGTTGGATAGAACCAGAATTTTATAAAAGAGCAATAAAATCTTTTTCTTCCAATCAACTGGAATCCCTGATATCGCATGAAAGAATTTTGATAAAAAAAAAAGGTTATCCATATTTGGTTGAATTGCAAATTTGAGTTTGGGTCATAAACATTTGCAAATCAGGTAAGTCCCAATTCCAAATTGAAACAAAAAATTAAGAGCTTAACGAAAACAAAATTATTCATACCGCGACGAATTGGTCTCATGGCAATTAGCGCATATATGTTATAACATTCGGATTAATGGTTGCACATATAATAAGAACTAGAAGATCTAGTCCATTCCGCTGATAAAGCATACAGTGACAAATGACACTACATTTAATTGGCAAGATAGAATGAATTTTCTACAAAAAGATTCCTGACAGAATATATGTACTCATCTACGTAAAGAAAACAGTGATTCTTGAGGAAAAAAATCTGAAAAGAAAGAAAGGAAATTGCTGCACAGAATTCTGGGAATTAGAAATTAGAGAATTCTAATAAAAGAAAAAAGATGAGATTATAATCGATTTGAGCTAAATGACGGCTGTTTTGATAGATGTGATATTCAGGCAAAGATACTAGCAGCGAAATTGGCACGTGGAGATCACATCCAGGTAGAAGGAAAGATCAAAAAATTAAACAGTGAAATGGAAAAAATTTAAATTAACCTTTTCTCCGTTTTATGTTTATGCCGTATGAGATTTATTTACCCCGAAATTTGCAACAAAGTGTCCTAACGCGGGTTAGAAAGTTAAAATTGGAATAAATTAACTTCTTATATATTTCAAATAATTAGAACAACTCTTCACATAAGGACACGACTTTTTCTTGATAATCATACAATTATCGCTGTCTATATGCTCCTCAAAGCGTCTCTTTACGTTACCTACTTTGACTAAACTTAGATAGATTGATATGAATTCCTTAGAAAATTCTGCAAAAATCTACA